ACCTAAGACAACTGCTAATAATGTCCTATAATTAAGTATGGTACAATTTAAATATAAAATATGCTTTAAAAAACAGGGCAATTACATTTACTCCTTTTAGTTTAGTAAGGTTTTATTTAAAAACAGAGAATTTCAAATTCATTAATCAACAAGGCAGGGAATATGAATGCACAAAAACAATTAACATTTGGATGTTGTTTTTCTGTTTTGAGGACAATGCAGAAACAAAAATCCTGTTTCTAGGTTAGCCGAAGCCAAATGCATTGACAGAAAGGCTGAAATGCTTCAGTCCAAAATTTTTTGGCAGAGCAATATTCCCATATGAGACTTGCAGAGATCCATTGCGAACAGTCAGTTCTTGAGTCAGTTGGTTCTCTGTGGTATGATTCACAGATCAGGTGTATCTTAAGTCTCAGCTGAAAGAACTGTAGTCATAAAAATACTCTCCAGAGCTCCCTGTCATGCTGAATAGTGCACAACAATAAATATTGCCAAAAGATTAATGTAACATACATAAGCAATACTTCAGTCTCGTTATTTTTTTTTTCAGGGTAGTGAACTAATAAGAACCGCAGAGAAACATGTGGCATGTTTCTAATCCTTTAACACAAGCTCTATCATCCCAGCCACTCAGGTGTGAAATAAGCAGGTAGATCACAGTTTTAGCTGAGCAGCCCATTCAATCTGTTGAATTTTATTTACGGCATAGTTTATAGTAGTTCAGGTGGGTAGGTGCGTCAGCATGCGTAAGCGGCAAAGGAAAAAGTAAGAGGTTTATTCCATGCTGATAATAGAAGAAAGAAAACATAGCGTTTCGGCTGTGGAGCCTTCTTCGGGCTCCACAGCCGAAACATTGTGCTTTCTTTCTTCTCTTTTCAGCATAGTTTATAGTATCCTACAGTATTCCTGAGTAATGTCTGTTCTTATTAACACCTGTGAAAAGCACCTCTCGAAAGGGCAGGGAAGACATAATAAAGCCTACAGTGTACCACGCCCCAGAGTGAGTCTGCTCTCTGACTTGTAACTCCACACCGATCTGCCATTAAGTCTTGGGTATTCCCCTTGGCAGAAGTGAAACACTGTGGCAAAGAGTTTATTGGTACATGTGGCATTGTCCTTCCAATTGGCAGCGCTGGAAAAGTAAAACTCGTTTGACTCATCTGATTCGTTTTTGCTTGGTCTTAGCCAATGCTTTGACATGGACTAAGGCCTTCATGTTCTCCACCACATCAAGCAAGCGGTGTGGTCGGGAGGGGGTGCTTTGAAAACGAAGTTGAACTGTTTTTAAATATGGACTGTGGCTTTCAATTTGTTGAGAAAGATTTAAAAAAAGAATCCTATAATCCACCCTGAACTTTTAGTTCTGGTCTTTCTTCTGTTCACTCCATTGTTAAATTCAGATTACTTGCCAGGACAGCTTGTAAGTCTGAAGCTAAGATTAACCTTTCCCTGCTAGGGTGAGTGTAAAGAGCCGGCAGTTGCTAAATAGCAGCTCTTAAGAATGTTTTTACACCTGATGAACAAATACTTACAAATGATGATGGAGTAGTGTTGTACACTCCTCATTTAGCAGTCACAAAGTAACAGTTTGCTTTCATTTTATTGTTGCTTCTGTTTTGAATCTTGTGGTTTTCCATTCAGTGCTGCCACTCATCTTCACAACAGCTGAATCAAGCATTCCAGCAACTGGTGTGCGGAGTTGTTGTGGAGCTGCTGAATGAGAGGAGCAGCCTTCATCGTTCAGTTCCTCTATAAGGTTGCCGAAAATCGTTTAAAACATTGTCATACGGTATTTAGAGGTATGACTAGCAGTTGATCTAACCTGGGTTGGCAGTTAAAGAAAAGCAATCGTTGTCCGCACGTGCAAGACTGAGCTGTTGGAAAGCTTTCTGGCAGTAATGGAGCTCAGGTGAGGGGTGCTGTGCTCTTACTGGAATGTCAGGAACTTACAGTGAGAGGAATTAATACAGCCATCAAGGAGCTGGTTACCTCAAAGTCCAGCCATGGACCGGATTCGATTTGCCCGGGTTGAGATGTTGTGAGGATCTCCAGCCTGGGGACATTGGTGTTTTGGATGTGTGCAGATAACTAACCTCCTGTGTCTTTCATTTCACGCGTAATCCAAGTGAAAAAAAGGGGTACAGATGCACCACAGCCACTCTGAACTGGGAACACTAATAAGCTGGAGTGCCCAACCTTCTTCCTCATGGAGACCCTGGGGCTGGAGACCCTGGCAGGGGGGCGATTAGAAACTCACCACTCTACTCCATTGTGAATTTCCTTGAAAGGAAACCTGAATACCTGACACAAGCCTGGGAGAACACTATTGAATTAAATTATTTTCTCTTCAGCTCCAGCAGTTAAAAAAATACATTCCTTTATAAAACCTTTTTATCAGAAAATGTAATTGTCTGACACTTCAAGCCTCCATCTTTTGTAAGTTGTTAAATTATTCTGTTCATCTTCATCTAACAGCAGGCTAAAGGGATCCTCCATAATTAAGTTTCTTTAGGTATCTCTTTTAAAACTGGCAATATTAAAGTAGGATTCTCTTTGTAATTTTGTTTTGTTATTTAAACCTTTATTTTTAGTATTCAATAGAGAACACATTTACAATGTTGACCTGATCTGTACCTGATTTGTTTTAACTTTTTATTACACATTGCAGACATAGTTGGAATATTTATATAAACCTTTTACAGGTTGGGTAAACTGTATATCTTTGGGATCATAATCAACGTTGCTGAACTAAGGATTTACCAAAACCAGTCTGTGTTAAGATCTGACTTGAGCAAACATGCAATGCTGCATGTTGTAAATAGTTTCCTGCATCCATGCTTTCCAAACAACCTGCAGAGGCAGTGCAAGCTCTGAGCTGTCTATTTTGTATCATAAAGCCTTCAGATTTACTCCTGCATTTTTTTGTATCGTTAAGGTGGTATTCTGTGCACAGGATGTTTATGCCCATGGTAAATATGTGTGTGCAGTTTGAATAACCTTAAATTCTCCTGTCAAACCCTTGGCAGGGTTATTTCCTTGTTCATACAGCCCCTCCTGAGATTGGGCACATATAAGGCAGTAATTCTTTCCAATAACATTCCTGCCCCAGAATTATCCCAGCCTCTGCCCTGCCACGGGCTGGCCCGGGCCTCTGTAGAGCACGTGTTTTCAAACTGCGTGAAAGTCCCAGGATCATATTCACATATTTACTTCAATCCCATAATTTTCTGCGTACATTGCCTGATTTTTTTCAGATGTTTTTTTAACTCATTTCCTATAATTATATATACAGTATATTATTTATATTATGTGTATATCACTGTATATGTATTTATATATTTCACTTATTTATTCACATATAGATTTTTTTCATCTTTGTGTACATGTTGCATGTATATTCATGTGTATATAATTGAATAGTCACTTTTTTTCCTTTTTGAAGTCATCTCAATAACTTACAATTTATAACTGAAATTAAAAAGAATAATTTGAACAAGAAAGAAAACTGTCATATCTTCTCTCAAACCAAGACTCCTAATTGTCAGTACCAGTATGCTAAATCTTATTAAGAAGCTGTGAAACAGAGCCTTATAAGATACATGTGTTTTAATGTACTGCTTTCTGCAGCTGTGGCCTCAGAGTTGGTAGTGCATTTGCCTCAGAATTAAAAACCTTTAGCTTGAGAATTAACCTGGAAGAGCCTGGGTTTGAGAGAACAGGTGAAATCAACAGAGGAACAATGTTCAGCAACTTTTAATTTAACCTTTGTGAAGCTAAATCCTAAACTAAGCTTACTGTTTACTTCAGGAAACTTTCAGGGAAGCAGAAACAAACCCGAGATAGGTGATGCTTGCTTTTCATTCCTTTAAAAGATCTTTAAATTGCATTACTTGGAAGCTGGGGTTTCCTTGGTATATACTTAAGTATAAGTATATAGGTATCACTGCATCTGTAGTGTGATGGCTTAAGTGACTGACTTATAAGGCTAAGGTCGGGTGTTAAAATCCAGCTATCGCCATGAGTTTGGGGCGGGCCACTCCGTTGGGCCCCTGAGCAAGGCCCTTCACCCCAGCTGCTCCAGGGGCGCTGTACAATGGCTGACCCTGCGCTCTGACCCCAGGCTTCTCTCCCTGTCTGTGTCTCATGGAGAGTGAGCTGGGGCATGCAAACAGACGAATTCCTATTGCAAGAAATTGTATAGGGCCGATAAAGTGATGATATAATGGACTGTGGTGTTTGGAGATCGTTTAACGTCAAGACAAACATGCCCTTGAAATAACCTTAGTGTCCTTCACACGTCCGTCTTCATTCTTCAGCTTCAAGCTCCATATCAGAGAGGCAATACAAAGAGAGTTTTCCAGCATGGACAAGAAGAGAAGACTAAAAATAAACATTGATCTTTTGGGCACCACTGATAAATAGGAATTTGTCTGGGTATCAAATTATTTAAAAGTTAACTGAATGATCAAACAAACTTCTAGATATTAGACTGCAGGACCCATTAGGAGGCCACTCCCTGCAAGTCAAATATAGCTGTCAAAACGGGCCTTTTCATCGTAGAAGAAGGGCAGTTTTGTGATGCTTGTGAGCTAAAGTTCAGAGCTCTCCTGATACTTGTAATGCTTCCTTTACTATAAAGCAGAGCAGTGTCCTCAGCTCAGGAGTAATGTGATCACCTGGGATTCGAAAAACTTTAATATAGTCTATCCCTCAACAGCTATTTATGTTGCTTTTTAAAATATTTTAAGTTTATCAAATGAGTTAACTCACACGGCATTAGTAATACATTGTACCTATTCATAACATTTTTTGCAGGTTGTGTGGACCAGAGACTTTATATTTGTAAATCATATACTGTAAGAACTATTATATGTTGAAAAAGCAGTGGCGTCTCACCTGGTTTGTAGCCTGGTGTGCAATTTAAAGTGTCTTAACTTAGCAGACAAACATAACTGATTTCTAAGACATGTAAATAATACATTGACAGCTAATAATAAGAATAAGTTTGAAAGCATAATTTGCTTTAATGACTTACTTTCAAAATCCTCTTGATGTAAAGATTATACAAACTGTAAAATATCCTGATCTTCAATTATAAATCTAGGAAGTTTTGTTGTTCACTTTCTTACATGCATCTTACAGAGACCCCTGTGATATACGGAAGAGTAATTGAATATCTGTAATTAAATAATCAATGCATTTTTTATTTTATATTAAATAGCACATCATTGATTTTCCCAGCATATTAATTAAAAAATAATAATTCAGATGGACAGCAGATAATTCTTTCTACAATCTTAAAACCATCTGCAAAAAAGGGTCATAAGGGGGTTAAGGAACATAAACCCTTACAAAAAAGTGTTCACATCACATCTATTATTTCATGACTAAGCACCAAAATTTGTTCCAAAAATCAAAACATCTTTGCATCTGGGGAGGATGTGCTTTCTTTGATTTGACTGTTTTCAGAAATTTGTTTATGTCACTCGCACTTAAGTTCATGAACTGATCAAGTGCTGATAACGTCCCCAAGGACCCTAAAACTAAAAACAGGAGGAGAATGAAGTACCAGGCAAACAGATTAGGGGACAAAGCTCTTGGAAATGTTCTCCTAACAAAAATAAGCCCACACATGAAGTTGGGTTTTCAGTGTGTGGAGGACTCTCATGTTTAAAAACCCTTGGTGTAGGGTACAGTGACCTGCTGTGTTGTAGGTGGGAATTGTTCTCGTTCTTATGAGAAATGATGTGTTGTGAAGTCAGGGCAGAACACAGTTAATGCCACCTGTTGGTAGGGCAGGCATGGGAGAGTAGAAATACCAATACAGTTTGTGTTCAGGGAGACAGCAGCTCCTGTTCCTGGGTTGGCTCCTAGAGATCTCGGTGGGGGTGGGGGAGCTGAGAGCATGTCCCCAGGGAGGCAGTGCTGTCCCATTTCCAGCAGGTCAATGTATAGGATTGCAGGGATTCGTGAGGACAGCTTACGATTGGCCTGTCTGCCAATCACTCTCCACCAGCTCTGAACTGAGGCAAGGAGACAAAACGGGGACGGGTTGTGATCAGAACGCATCGACTGTGGCTTAGGTTTATATCATGATCGCTGGAAGTGCCTTGTACAAGTGACAGCCCTGCATCAAATGGAGTGTCAGCCTGTAAGAAGAGGAGGTTCCACCAGCACGGAGCAAACGGTGTGAAATTTCATGGAGGTTCTCAGGGCTCGGTGTTGCTGGGCTGACTAAGTGAAGTTCATATTAATGCAAAGTGGAGCAATTCCTACATCTAGACAATATTCAGACTTGCTGAGTAATGCATTAGCTCCAGCTCACTTCCTTGCCATTACTCAGTAGGTTTTAATTGCCATTTACCAATTCTTTTCTAATTTACATCTCTCGAGAGAGACATTTCTGAACAAGAAACTGATTTGAGCCCAAATGGTCCAGAAATGGTTAAAAGGATATGTTCCCTTTCTCTGGCCGAGCACTGAACGGTTTTCGAGTTGATCATCTGTAGTATATTAAATAGTATTTATTGTCTTTGCCCAGTATTTCAGTTACTGGGTTTCCACAGCGATTATGGTGTATATTATGCATTTCTATTAAAAAAAAACTCAAAGTGAAAATGAAAAGTTTTGTATTTGCCTCCTGTCCCCAGTTTTGCTTGGAACAAGAACGGGATTAATAGTTGAATAAAATCATTGTGTTAATCATTACCAGTGTCTAAATTGTAATGGTATTACTTGAAGAGAAGAATGTAGAATTTCAAGAAGTCAAAACGCCGACAGAAAAAGAAACTCGGTAGGGTTTTACTGAAAGGTGAATCAGCCAGGTGGCATGTTAGGTTAATTTTTTATGTTTAAACGTCTCATTTCTAAAGAGCTCATTTTAAATCCAGCTTTCATCGCCATTGATCTCATTTTGGCTTCACACCCTGTGAAGCGCATTCATCTCCTTCTTAAAACTAACACTCACTTGTCACAGTGTGTTTTTCTCCGGAAATTCCCGAGATGTACTGTAAGCAGTTCCCCCAGTCCCCGACTTGTTGGAGATTCTCATGAGCACCATGTTCGAGAGCATTTCAACAGCAAAAAAATTCAAAACGTGCAGGTCACTGTGGAAAATGTGTTTGAAAATGTATGTACAGGGATTCTCCTATGTTCATGCCTGCCTGTGGGAGAATTTATTACTCAGAATGGTTGCTACTACAGTATACAAATGTAGACCATATCTAGAAAAATATATCTAAATTTCCTCGTCTTTAATGTCCTCCTCCTCTGTAGCACCCCATTTTTTGTGTTTTTTTTCCCCTGGGAATGAATTTAAGGACTTTTTAGTACCAATAATTTGTATTAAAACAATTATTTCCTTTTTCATGAATGAGCGAGTAACACTCAAAGATACTGTGGATGAAAATACAGTTAGCACCGGTGAACCATCACTGGTTGAGAGAAGGAGAGAGTTGCAGAAATTCAGAAATATGTTTCAGTTTAAATCTGAAATATGGAACTTGATGTTGACCTTTCCAGAGAGGGAGAGACTGTTTTTTGCCAGTTGATTTAATTTCAGGGGATTTCTGGATTAAATAAAAGCAAGAATCCAACATTTTCGTGTTCCTAGAAACTTAAGGTTAAAAAAATATCAACTGGAAAAATTAACCGCATGGAAAATGAAAAGTTAAGGAATCAAATAGTATTTGACAGATTATAAAACATTTTAGACATTTCACATGTGTGAGAGGGTGAAATTATACTTTCAAATGTCATAGAAGTATATTGTGATTATACCATGTTGCACAGTATCTGTTTAATACTAAAGCACCTGAATTAACTTTGAAAGCAATAAGTGTTTAACTGTTACAATTGAAATCACTGTGAGAAAAAGTTTTTTTATGAATATTTACAAATTGTGACAAGTAATACCTGTGAACAAATTGTACTGTCGATAAAGGGTGTCTGTGCTCATATAGACCAGTCCAGGTAGAGACTGAGGTCATATACAAATTTAGGATTACTTTGAACTGTGCAGTAATTATGATGTTCAGGCTTCAATAAGTGGAGAAAAGTTATTTGCAGGAAGCTACTCATTTTAATTTAAACCTGTACTGAATCTCAGCCCAGTACTTCGAATGTGCCAAGAGAGTTTTTTTAAGCGACGGTAATTTAGTTTGAAAGTTTAAACATTGGCTCCGTGTAAAGAAAATGAGATCCACAGATAATGTACTTAAAATTCATTAAAAGGTATTTTGGATTCAGTACTGCATATTTTATTATTATATTTTGTCCTAGATTGTTTCTCACCCACGCAAATCTATTTTAATGATGTTTGAGAACGCGTTCCGGGCTGTCTTAATTGTAATAGTGGATTTAAGCCCATCCGTCCGTGCTGCAGGTAAGGGAGAGATCGATAAATCGAGTGAACACCTCTTTAGTCGCACTCCTCTCCACTGCCTCTTGTTTCAGGACAAGCAATCTGTTTTGTACGCTATTATCTGTTACGCACTTAAGCGCAAATCAGCGAAGCTCAGTCTGTTGTAGCTACTGTAAGTTGCTGCTGAGGTTTGTTTTGTTGCTAAAACTCGAGGATTTGCAAAAGAGACAAAAATTCAGTTAAGAACGGCTCCCTTCCCCCACCTTTACACACGCGCGCATACATCTATCAGTTGTTATTAAAATGCGATTTATCTAACCCCTGTTTAAAAAGGCGGCGTGCTGACCCACGCATGGCAGTGTAGTTGTATTATCATTGTCAGATAAAACGAATGTATACTGCACACTTAGCAGGGAAAATGTAGAGCCAGCGAATGAGCCTGTGTTCTGTAGAAAAACTGCGAGAAGAACCGGATTGTGGTTCTCCTGTGTGTTTGAAGGGACTGCTGAGGCTTCCCACCTTGTAAACGCGAACAGCGGGGGAGTGCGATATTCTGCTTTCTCAGCGAGAGAACTTGCTGTTAGACACGCAGGTTTTTACTGTCAGCTACTGGACTGTTTATGGAACATGAGATTGTTACATTTTAAGGAAAGCTATCGGACAAACGTTGTGTCGGTATTGCCTGTTAGAATTGTCGCAATCGACGTTAGTTACAGCGATTTTTAAAATTAAATACCTATATTGGCGAGTGCGAATTCTAAACTTAGAATATGGGTTTCCCCGCAGCCACATTTCCGCGAGTTACTGTATACAATAGATTCAGTCACAAATGTGTGCGACAATTAACCAAACAAAAGTGTGATTTCGTTAAAGAAGTCCGTCAAGAAACAGTTAAAAAACTGATGTTGATTTATTCCAAATTTTGTCGTCTAAATCGTAACATAAAACGCTTTCATCATGTTAAGGGCTTAAATAACGCGAGGCATTAAAAACGCAACAAGTGATATTGGCCGTAATGCTATTTTTTGTGTTGTAATGCCTTTCTTAATGTATAGATTGTTAATCAAGTTGTAACGTTAGCTTCTGTACTTTTTGAATTGTACAGAACTGTTTGATTTTTTTTAAAATAATTTTTACATAACATTCCGCTTTTTAAACCGTTACAGGCTATTACAAGTCGCCATAAATTTAGTTTTAAACGGTTAAAAATGTAAGATTTTAGTCACTGGAATTTGTTTTGAGCAGTACCTTTCACGAATTTAATTTCATCCCTTAAAAGCAAATCGTGATATTGTTTTAACTAAAATCTGTGATTTAAGACTGATACGTTATTTTAAATTAGCTTATTTGACACAAAAGGGTTAATCACGCTGCAATGAAGATTTCAGTCATTCGAAATGTTATTGATTGTATCAGAAAGTTGTGTGTTCATTTCAATAACAGATTAAGACAGCTGGCCAATTCACGTCGGGTTAATTACTGAAGACAAACTGAATCAGGGCAGTGCGATTCTAGTGAATTGACTTTTAATAACGAGAACCTATATTAATTTTACTAATGCGATATTGGTCTTTCTGTTAGTCTCGACCCTTCATGATTCGATTTTTAAAAACTGATGGAGATTTTCTTTCTCATCCCTTACATATGTGAACTGTGGAGACGTTTGTCTTTACTGGTCTAATAGTTTGCATTATTATTATTATTATTATTATTATTATTATTATTATTATTATTATTATTATGGCGAAAAAAAACTACTTAAATTTGTACCCTTTTCCAAAGTTGGAACTTATTCTGTTGTTCGGCCTCCTGGGACTGGAACCACAACCTGGTCAGCATTTGGATTTATGCTGAGCAATACGATTGTAGTCCGAGTGGATAAAGAGTTAATCATCATCATCATTATTAGACAGGAAACTCATTAATCGAGAGAGCTGTGGCCTCGGCGAAGAATGTGTTGGGGAGGTTACTAGTTTTAAAATAGGGCTGGCCTGTCCGCTGCCCCGGCATGCAGGCACGGAATCATGAATGTATTTTTCGAGGGGTTTTTCTTTTTTTTGGGGGGGAGTCCTGTCTTCTAATAGTTTCTAATGGTTATCCATGTTGTTCGTTTGGCTGGCAGAACAAAATAAAGTCACGTTGTGATGATAGTTTACAATTCCAGTGTTTAGCATTGACTCTGCATAAGATGAGAAACTAAGCGAGATCTTTGGACTTTTAAGGTTTTGATTGAAGACAGGTTCTATAACCTAATGCTTTAATCAGATTAACATGACTTCGAATCCCTGTAAGAAACATTACCCATTTAAATACCATTTATTTACCCATTTATATATGCTTTATGAAAATAGAAATGTAATGTGAACTAATGATTACGTAGTTTGTCTCTCCTACTTTAAATATAGTATTTGTACTTGCTGTAGCCTGTTCATGTAGTAGTTGATTGTGGGTCGGTTGTTATTCGGTTTGTGATAGGTATTTTGTAAAATACCTGTCCGTGAAAGCTGACTGTATTTTTTATTTTAAAATCAGAGTCATTTGATAATGTTTTATGTCACGTAACGGAATATTATTTCGGGAAGTTTCAGTTTTTCAGTTTAATATTCCCCCCCATGCTGAACTCAGAGGAGCAACCTTTTGGCAAGTGAACTTGTAAGCTTCCGAAATCACAAATTGCTTGGATATATCCGGTCTAATAACTCCGAGGACCGCAGGAATAGAAGTCTTCGCTTGTTCTGATAAGTAATCGAAGACAGAGCTGAATCTTTTGGGACAAGTAGTATACTTTACGAATTCTGCATGCACCCTATTGAAGTGGCGGGACATTTGTTGTTACAAGGAAACTCACAGTAATCCTAGCTGGAGCACACGTTTCCAGTGCGCATCCGGCTCTGTCATCTCTAACAGGTTGAAATTGAAAAACCTAAAACGTATTACAAAAAAATATTTCTAGCTTGTATTATATTTTTCTTAATACATAAAATATGTAAATTTATTGTAAATCAATCCGACTGCAACATTTCATGTCACTACTGCGGTTAGCTGAAAATATCTTTTGGTAAGGATATTTCATTCAAATATCCTTCATTCAAATGTTGCACTCCAAAATTATGCCAGATAAATTAAATAAACGGTTATTAAATTCGTATAAAACAGCTTGGTAGCCCATTTATGTAAAATTAACAGGTGGTTTGTAATTTCATTAAGACATGTTGCATAGAAGTAAACACAATGCAACATTTAAAAAAAAATCAGAATAAAAACTTAATTGGAGTGTTTTCCTAAACGACGTCCTTGAAAATGTGTAGAAAGGTATTCTATAAAGCGCCTTACCGTGCAAAAAGAAAAAAAAAGTAGTGTTCACAAAGTTATTTTTTTACGAATAGGGGGATATTTTGACCACTCTGAAGTTTTAACACAGCACAAACCGATAACAGGGGAACTTTAAACATAGCACAGTTTATCATATATATTTTTTTAAAAATCAGTGATCTGTAAAACTACAAGGTTCGTTACGGTGTTTTGGGCTTGCGTGTTAGCACGTGGGAAAGCAACCTTTGAAAAGCACCGCGTGCGTCTGAATTATTATTTAAAGGGTTATGAGCTGAAACAGCGAGTGAAAAACTCGCACCACTGTTACAACACGTGTACCACACTGGTGAAGCCTTATTCTCAGTACAGACAGATCCAGCATGTGCACTATTACATGGTTCATTTAAGAAAGTAAATAATGTTATTTGAAAGCAGGGTAGCAAGCCTGTTGTTTAACTCATTCCTGCTCTCTGCAGAAAAATAACGCTTCTCCCAAATTGCCGATAAGTCTTGGTCACCTGTTGGTTTAGACACGCAGAGGGCTACGGTACAGCAGTGTGTTAGATACTCTGAGCACTTACACACTGTACGTGGACAAGTTACCTTGAGCGCGTTAACGAGGTATCTCACGTTTCTTACCTGATAGTTTTTCATGTGCTATATGAATCCCAAACGTGAGCCTCATTATTTACAGGCTGAAAGTACCTTACGGCACTGTAAACGACATGCAGTTGTCATTCGGTTTAAAACACTTCGGTACTGTCAATTTTTGGCCTAGAGGCACACTAATGAGATTCTTCAAACAGGGGTTGATACAATAATAAAGAGTGCAATTATTGTAAAATACCCTAAGAACAGTTTATTCTTTCAAAATAAGTTTCTTAAATACTGTACATGAATATAAAACTTTCCTTCGTGAACTAGGCCAACATAATTCTACTCTGAATGATCTTCAGTAGTACGCTAGCCAAATCACATTTGGATTAAACGGAGACGGCAAGAGACTACAAATATTAATGCTGATTTTTCAGTATTGCCTGAAAAAACGCGGAGCTACTAAACATTTTATTAGTCGTGGCGACGTATTAGATGGTATATTGTACGTAGATTCACTATTTTCCGTGACATTTGTGGTCTATATGTTACATAAGCCGTTTCGGGTTCAAAAATAATTTTTCATCTGCAGTGGACTAGAACGAAGTGTATTTTTTTTAATTTGAAAGGTATTTTTTTTTCGTACAAAGTTTTACTCCCTGCGTTTTAGACACGTGTCCCGTATTCGTGTGTCTGTTTTGTGTTTACGCTGTTTCAGGATTCATTTGGTTCACCCTTAACTCGGCGGTGCACTGTTCAGGAGAGCGTCTCTTCTGGCGTAGCGTTCCCAAACTTCAGACCAAGGTAGTTAGCAAGCAGTGCATCGTCATGGCTGTGCCTGAGGACTTAAAATGAACAGGCGGGCATGGTTTAACTTGGCGGTTAAAAGGGGACACTGTCACCACACCGGGGACTCGTTTATTACCTGCACCGCGGTCTCTCTTGCATTACCTGCACAAAACCCTGCCCGAGGACTGTTCTACCTGCTGTGCGGAGAGAGCACACGCCACAAAACGCGGCGCAAGGGGTTTTCTGCTAAGGAAAAGGGGATGCTGCAGGTTTCCCCTTAAATAACTTTCACAGACACCAGCCCGCCCGCCTGTCTTCGGCGAACACGAGCAGCACAGCGCCCCAGAAAGCGGCGAGGACACTGTATTAAATCGCGCTAATAGCGGATTTGCATAATGAAACCCGGAAATAAATAGGACGTAAATGACAGCCTTTTCTTTTTCTCTTTGCGAATTTTAAAAGCCCCCGGTGCTGTAGACCGGGCTATAGCGTTTCTTTTTTTTATGAACTACGCCATCAAGTGCAACACTAACACACTACCACAGTCCCCCACCCCCCTTCTCCATTAACCTCCGCCGTCTTTTTTCATCTATTCCGTCTTGAAGGCGACCGTAAGATCTCCTTGGAAGATACAAATCAGGCCATTTTTGTATGGATCTCCAAAAAAAAAAAAGAAGCTAGCCCTTAAAGCAGAGACCACGTTATTTCAAATCTATGAGACCGGAGAATCTGCACTGTAATTTTATGCTACAGGCTACAACATCACAGTACAGCGAGGCAGCGTCAGGCAAGACACTACAGCAACAAACTGTGAAACCGGCGTATTATAAGATCTGTATTTTATCCTCTTGTACCTTGAAACCGGGGTTTTGCACCGAACCGAAGCCTCAGTCCTCGTATCGGACGCGTTTTATCTCTCCGTGTTCATTTCCCCTCGAAGAGCAGGGATTATTTCTTTGCGAAGAGACATGGATGAATAATTATTGCCCAACAGGATCGACAAGATGACCAGGCGCTGAACTGCGGTGCTGCAAAAAGCCTTTTAGCTACAACTTTTTTTTTCTGGTTTTGTCAGTTTCACTTGGCAATGGTACGTTACAAATCAATTTCATCATTATTTGTCGTTATTCCAAAAAAAAAAAAAGATGCACGCCGAAATGATCACGAGTTTGTTCTTAAGACGTATGGAGGTAATACAGAAGTCTTTATTTCTTTTCTTGCCGTCTGTTACTCTGTTGGTCCTTAGCCAAGCGGAGGTTTGTGGGAAAGGTTAGAAAATGTAGACATGTATTTATGTATAGGGGCGTAATGAACAAAATAGCGAGCTGCCTGGCGTTTCTCCCACGGAAAGTTGTTAGTTTTTTTGCCAGCTAGCTCGCTAGCGCAGGATAGCGCCGATGCGTGCCTACCATTGGGACGCCGGAGGCCGAGCTGAACTTGAAAAGCTGCGAGACGCCGTCCTTGGCTACACTGTAGCGGAAAATGGCCGCAGCGAGAGCCGGAGGCGCCCCGGAGTAGACTTGAACCTCATACCGACAGAGGCGCACTCTAGCTGGGGCGTTCTGTCGGCAAGTGCCGTATTAAAGCTACGCGCACCCTCTTGTCAGAACAGCCAAGCGCAGCTGTGTTTCTGCGGAGCTGGGGGATAGATACATACTGTAACTACACGTGCACGCCTCGATACGTGAATGTACAGTAGATGCAGACGTATACAACAGATACAGAAAAGATACATTTTAAAAACGATCATTCCCATGCAGCGATGATGCAGTTAAGTAAACTGAGTTTGAAATGAACCATGTTTTCAGTAATTAAAGACACCTACTGTACCTTTCATAACATTTGTTAGTATATAGGATGATATGCATTATTTTATTGTGTTTCCCCCGTGAGGCTTTTGCGAATTGCGTTATTGTTATTATTAACTGCAGGGTTTTAGACAATACTATCTGTCTTCCAATATGCCTTTATTTCAGGCCTGAATAAAGTTATTGAAGTAATACCTGGCCTCGTAACTTAAAACAGCTAACTTAAAACTTTTATTTTACCAACTTTGCATTACTTAAACTTCTACCTTCCAAAAAGATAGGATAAGAATTTAATAAACTATCCCTTTATCCCTCTGTACGGTTTATAGGTACTGACATGAAACATTGTTTTATTTGCTGAATTTTGTACTTTTACCTTTTCTCCTTTCCTGAATAGAGTTAATGTCCGCAGTAGCCAGTGCTACTTTTTGTAATAATTGTACTTTAAGCACAATTTAACCCCCCTCCAACACACACACATTTCCCACTGAAAGTAATTTCCTTTAAACTTTGGAATTTTGTAGTACTGGCAAGAATATATTGTCCTGTTTTATATATCTCCCAAAGCCTTCCTGGCTTCAGGTCGAAAATAAAACATAAAACGTCCAAGCAAGTTTTGATAGGCCTTTAACTTTGGCATATCCGTTTTCTGCAGCCTTGTTAGAGAATCGTGCATCCCTGGCAGCCGAAATAATTATATAAAGTCATAAGAGGAGAAAGGGGTCATTAAATTGTGAACCTAGCAGGCTTCGTTGGCATTCTGCTGGGGCTGGGAGAATTCCTCAGCCGAAACCATCTTGACATTCATTTTCTTATTACAGCTCTGCACTCTGAAACATTTTGGAAGCCTTCATAGCAATGTACAGCGCAAAGCAGTTCTCCAAAATGGTTGTGTTAGTTGCTGTGGGCATGGATTGAAGTAAACTGGTGCATTTACTGAGACGAAACAGGTTGAAACGAACCACCCTCCTCTCTCTCTCTTTGCCAGATTCAAAGAGTTTTCTGTAGAGATGTCGGCCCCTGTAATATGCGAAAACAGGATTAAGATGTGACATTTTACTTTTCATTATTCTCTAACATTGACACAGAAGGATAGAGCCTTCGTGGCAAAAAGTTATTTTTCCAGCATTATTGAGGACAATATTATGCATTTTTTTGCCCAGTTTGTCTCAGATAATGCAGTAGGCTAGTTCTGTTTTTTTTTAATTTCCTTTCAGTTATTCTCTATTCAGATCTGAAGTGAAACCTCATGTGGTTGTCAAGATATTTACTGTACGTTTTTTTTCCGACACTGCAAACAAGTTCCGAGATTACAGTTTTAAATCTGCGATTTCATGTGGCTCTATGGGAATTCCAACATTTCACTGTAAATGCCGGTGATGATAAATAGGTCACTTTTCGTTATTAGTTTCTAGAAGACAGTGCAAAATGCAATACTATGTATTTCTAGAGGTTAGAATTAGAGGCATGCTTTGTTTTCAAGTCTGACCACCCAACGTTAACTGTGCGAAAAAGTAACATTAGGTCGTACTGGGACATTTTGTTTCAAACCAGGGTGGACCGCGCTCATTATCGAACTATGAAAAGCAGTCTTAACTGATCTGCATGAGAACATTAATTATTTTGCAAATGCATTTCAGCAAACAGTCCAATGAGCGATCAACAATAAAACGTTGCTTTGTACGTAAGTTGCAGACTGCAGGGGATGGTCTTTTTAGAGGCGTAGGTTATCTAACATTTCACGCATTCAAAATAACTTAAAAAAGCGATTTAGACGAATGATGTTAAAAATGAAACGTTGTGTGCGGACGGCATCGAAATCAAAGTATTCTCCATCCTCGTCATCGTTGTTTGTGTTACCGATAAGGCAGACTCTGCTGCCCCTCCGGTGTGAAGCTAGTGGCCGGCTCCGACATTGGAGTCTCACAAGCGCCTCGTTGGGCAGCGTTACGAGACGTGTGATTTCTGACTAAATCTGTTCGTTCGCGCTCTCGGCGGTTCGCGTTTGGGTCGGGCTCCCCAAATTGAAACGCTCATATTAATGGAAAGTATGTGCGCTACAAGACACTCTTGAGTTGGTATTCTTCCTATCACGGGACGAGCGCACTTAAATACCCCCCTCTGGCTGGGCAACAGACAAGTCATTCGCCGTTTTCACAGTCAGAACCGGATACCGGTCACGCTTGACAGGTCTCCCATCTTCCGAGCAGATCCGCTCTCGGTCGAGGCCGAGACGTGATCACGAAGACACCACAGCGTGTGCTAAATGTTTCTCCCTCTCGCTTTGGGAAAAACAGGGATACTGCATCTTTAAGTCAGATGTAGTCCCTTTTTTGGGATGGGCTATTTTCATAACGTCATTTCATTCCTCCCTCTTGTTCATTTTCTCATTCTTTAATTCTTTCTCTCCCCCATTTCCTAAATGGAACAGATTTTTCAAACCTCCACCTCTCCGTGCTTTCTCTGATTTTTAATTTTTTTTTTTAGTCTTGCTCTTTTTTGTCTAAAAAAAAATATCGCTGGACCTAGCAGTAAAAGGCGATGATGAAATTTTGCAAAATGACTCAGTAACTTTTCTTTCTTAACATTTGCCAATTTCTAATCAGTTTCATTGAACCATGATGTATTCGCCTCTCTGTCTTACTCAGGTAAAACGATTTTCTTTTTCTTTTAGTGTCATTAGTGCATGTTGTCGGTTGTAAGATCCAGGCACTTCTTGTTTAAAATGCAAATTGGCGTAGTTGAAAAAAGGGCGGGATGAATTCTGGCACAGTCCTTAAGGAGACTCAGAGCTGCGCCGCTATATGGCAGCTTCGCGAAGACGTTTTTCGGGTTTTTTAAGTGCGGCTTTTTTGGAAAGTGCAGACTTAATTCCACCTTTGAGCTGACAGTCGTGATGAACAGTTGTAGTACTTCAGCTGATAGCACTGTAGAGGCGTTCGCGTCCGTGTCAGTGTTGAATATACAGCACGGTGCTGCGGGGTGCCAGCAAGTGCGAACGCATTCGTGCGATACATGTTCATTTCAGCTTCTACTGTACGTGTGCTTGTACTCGCATTTTAAAGAATATGCATGTGGACATGTGGCGCGGTTGTGACGGCCACAGGCAGCTCTGGAGAAAGTGTTTTTCCTCCAGCTCTGAGATAGCTTTACAGATGGCTAACCTTTCTACAATCGCTGTGCGCCGTTGCTGGTTCCTGTTATAAATAAGAAAAATGAAAGAGCTTTGAACAATACCGAGTTTATGAAAACATACCGGGAAAAGTTTGTTTTTTTTCCTCATTGGTTTATTAGTTTGTGATTGGCTGAGGTCTGAAACCGTTACTTCGCTCCTGTGCTCCTGCCGGCGGTCATCACGAGCAACCTGATCTTTAGGGGCTTTGAACTGGACTTGAACTGGGCTGGTGTGTGATGTCCTGTCCAACGGCGGGTTGGTCCAGCTTAGTCAAAGCTGACCGATCAGGCTGGTCGATGGAACCTCCTGCTTTCTCTCAATTTTTTAAAATTCTCATTAAAATAAAAACCACATGCTCATTCATTACAAAGCAGCATTTTGGAGTAACACATCTAATTCAAGATCTCTGATGAACACAGTATATATACTGTAAAAACAAAAGTATACTTACTTTTTTTTAGTAATTTGACTCTTGTTTTGCTGTTACTAGCTTTTGGGAAAATCTGTTGTTACTATTTTACTATATTTTCTTACAATTTTAAAAGCTTCCTCTCAAGTGTAAGAGAATTGTAAAAGCTTAATAATTTGGGGGGAAAAAGATGAATTTTTCCTGTCAGATGACCTTTGTGTTTGGCATAGTATCTTAGCATCGTACTGTGACTCCAGAAATTTACATGGTGAGAAAACAGACCTACACATAGGATATTGGATTCTGTCGAATTTAACTGAGGTTGTTCTTTGCCCTCGATTTTCGGGATTTTAGGATTGTAACTGGTTTTACTAACAATACTGCATTATATAGCAACAAAAGAATCTGTGTTACTTTGTTAATAGTAGAATTGTGATCAAAACTAGAATTTCCTAATATGCAAACTCTTCTGTCAGTCAAAGCAGGTAGAGACCAGGGCGTTCTGGCTGGCTAACAGATGAGAAGTGGGTTCCAGATATTGACACAAAGCTATAGTTGGTTCAGCACATGGTTTCAGTCCATGCCAATGGGAGATGATAAGATGAGCACCAATGTGTGTGCAGAGTGTGCTGGCTCAGCCAGAGACTGCTAACTGTCCATAGGGTGATACTTGGCTCGGCTTTCAAAGTCAGGCACAAGTGATCGTGCTCTTTTCCTTCAGTTGTTGATTTTACCTGTCGCCCTTTTACTGAAGTGTGGAGTAATTTCTACAACATGCACTGATCGGTGAATTGAAGGCAACTCCAGTAATATTCAGACGGTTTTACAGGAAGTGAAACTCCCCTCTTTTAAAAAAAAAATCTAAATGTCATTTCTGTTTTACAGTAAGTTGCTGTGTCCATACACATACGGCAGTAAAGTAGGAAATGTTTTAGGATTAAATCAATATCCCTGCTTAGTTTTTCGCACACTTTTACAAGGCTAAAGGTCTGTATTAGTAACCAGCAAAAATCAATTTAAAAACATAATTTTTATTGTGAGTTATGTGCCGTTTGAATTAAAAAAAAGGATACCAGTGTTTTCTGTTTTTCAAATTTCATAAAGAAGAAATGATCGTAGTGTATATAATGTATATCATATACTGTAGAGGTTTTGTGAAAATTTGAAGTTAATGATCTATTTACAGTGCATACACTGAAAAATTTGTGGTCATAATATTTTGTAAAATATCCAAAAATATGTTATTGAAACAGTGTTTATTTATTTGCCTACACACCTTGCTGTTAAAGTTTAAAAAGTCATCATTACCCTGAAAGAGGTAATGGAAGCATTACTATTTGTTTAATCACAAAGTAATCAGAGATTACTTTTTATTTTGTTTTGTCTTATCAGTTTACCAGTGCCTTGTTTTAGTATGTGAGAACAAAATTGCTCAATTGTTTTAAAAGACGACTTTTAAAAACGTAGGCTTTGACTTTGTATTATGGGCTTATTGCTGTTGTGCAATTTGGTTATTTTTGTGTAAAAAGGTCAGTATATCAATTTTATCGCTGAGTCCCAGTAGTCAATAGGTTATGTAATCTGAAACATGTCTGAAAGTTATATTTTTTTGTGAAATACAGGGCTTGTGATTATAAAAGCAGCACCAAATTCTTATACAGCAGTTTAAAAATAGGTGATTATTAAAGAATGTGCTAATCACACACAAACAGAGGTTCATCTTAAATAAAGTCCAAGTGTGCACTCTGAAAGCTAAGACAGTATTGTTTTTGTGCCTGTTCTCTCATTTTTTAAAAGAAATATCAATGCGTTGCATGCAGATACTGGTACCCTAAGCTAGTATATATTGCCCTGCTCATAAATCATTACAATTTCACTGACATGTGCTGGGTTTAACTTTCATTACAGTGTGTGAGGCACCTAATGTGCCAAAACCGAGAGCCAAATATGGTCTGGGTGTCAGTTTGAGATTTCGAATAATCCTTGACCTTCAAACAGATGTTAAAATTTACAAAAGCCATTTTGAAATTTTAGCCATGTTAATTTACTTCTTCTTATTGACGCAGAAGCAGATTCGATAATGTCTTTTGTTGTTAATCGTGCCAGTCGCTCAGTGTTCCAAAAAATTTAAAAGACCCCTAGATTCACACTCCACTTTTTAAATAAAAATAGTTTTCTAAAATCAAGTTTATGTTAGAGCCAAACTATATGCTGAAACAAAACAAAAATGCCTGCCATCTTTGTAAATAGAACTAGTTACTTAACAATGGTTTAAGAAGGTTGGGATTTATTCTTAAAAGAATTTTGGATGGCTTGGTGCACCTCGTATTCAACTGTTTAAAAATACTAAAAGGAAATTATCCTGTTTTTCTAAAAGTAAAATGTGTGTACTCCTCATCTCCAAAGCTGGTTGGTACAGTTTATCAAGTTGCTTTTTTTTTTCTAAGCATTTTTCTCCCTGGAGGATTTTCATATTTTCAGGGTTGCATTGTCTGAATACTGGATCAAAGTCATCGAGTGTGCTCGGGTTTGCAGTCTGCAGGGCCTGAAGAGATTTGATTCATTCTGTTTGTTTTGTTTTTGGGGAGATTGTGCAGAGAACCTTACATTTATTTTATTATTGCATGCACCGAGTAACAAACTGCTGGCCACACATGTAATTATTTAATAGTTTAACTAATGTGTAACAGGACTGAGTGAGCGGCAGGAAGGGGTTTGCTCGTGCTGCAGAACTGCGTTGTTAAGCAGACACTATGTTTAGTTTGTCTTTTTGTTTTTTCTTGGAGTCCAGTCTCTGCTGTTTTTAAGGGAGACTGGTGCAGTGTTTCCACAAGGGTGGGGAGTACAGGGGTAGCAGTTAGATCAGATGAAGCCCCCTAGTGAGGAGGCTTTGTGCGGACGAGGAGTGTTCTTTAATCAGGTGTGGTATTGAGAACTTTCTGAGTGATTCAATCAAGAAAGCGTACTGTATGTGTAATCTGTAACAACGTGCAGTGAGCTGTGATTAGAGGCCAGTGGAATAGATACAGGTTATGTAATTTTTTCTTTCCAGGCTTTTAATATAAAAATGGTGCATAGAGTTTCATAATTAGAAACAGTAACGATTGTTGAAATGACTGGTCCCTCTTATGAGTGGATGTAAGCTCTGTTGCGCAGAGAACTGCAGACTCATGACTTGCTCCACGCCCGCTGAATTTTAATTTGTTTTCACCTTTTTCATTTTTAAAATAAAATTTAGGCTGGAGCGCTCAGTCGGTGTATACATGCATTTGTGTGTTTTTGCTGAATATAGTATGTACATGTGGTCTGTCAGAACTAAATATCTTTTCATCATCATTCTCAATAACAGGATGTTAAAGTGTTTATCCCCAGACAAGACCAATAACCAACAATGCACCACTTGTATACTGCTTTGCACTTCTTAGAAATTATTTGACTGACAAAACTTCCAAAATAACATATCAAATTCTAAATGTCTGACTGAATGGGTTCGGCCTGTTACAGATACAAATGGATAAAGTCACTGAATTGTAATAAATGGCGTAATGTAATAATGGGTCTTGCACTGGAAGATATGTTTTGTGTCGGACACTGCTGAAACAATACAGCCGTCACTTAACGATCTCTAACAGCAGTGACAGTGTGATCTTTTGGTCTCTGGTCAAGTTTGCGCTTTGCACAAAGCTGACCAGCGCCGATCTTGTACTGTGTGAGATCTGCCCGTGTCTTGGTTTCTTGTTCCAGTACCTGCGAAGTATCTTATCGTGGTGTCTGTATGTCAGTTCATGTTGTCCTTCAAAGTGCCGCGTCCTGCTCCTAACGTCCACTCCGTTAAAACCGCAGCTTGCTGTCTGCCCCAGGGCAGCGGGTTTGCCGTGGACCGGCAGGCTGGATGTGCTCAGACTGAGGGATGTACGGGTGACAGTATCGGCGCAGCCAGTGTCCCAGTGTCCCCGCCATCACCTCCGTTGTGGCCGTGTTTCCGCAGAGACACGCAGTGTGCCTGTGCGCTGGCATGCTCTTCCTGCGCTGTCTCGTTTGCGCTCGGTAGCGCGACGGGAGGA